TTCCAGCTATCGTTTTTGCGATTGACAATAGTTTTGCTCAGGAATAACTGAAAAAATATAAATAAAACAGCGGAAGTTTTATCTTAAATTGTCTTTAAAAAATATATTTTAAAAAATCTTTAGAAAAAGCTTTTTTTGGATTAAAGAAAGATTCAGTGTTCTGGAAGACATATCATTTTTCGATACATTATATTGCTGTTACAAATGTCATTAAATCTAATTAAAGAACAAACTAAGAATTAATTTGTTTTGCAGCGGATATCGTTTACTTTAGTAATCTCATTTGTTTGGAATTTGAAATTGTTCAATTATTCTCCTTTTTGACGAGCGGAATTTTATGCTTTTAAGTTTTTAAATGAATACGGAAAGGAAGTTGTTTGGGTGGACACAACATTAAATTTTTGAAGTAATCAACGAACGAAAAGAAATTAGATCGAAATTTTATTTTTTTTTTGAGTGTTATCATAACTTTTCAAAAGTTCACTCATTTCTCGTCCATTACCTAATAAGATTAATTTGCAAGAAATCGAAAAATTTTACCTCATAAATTATTCAATCACAGTTAGAAAGTTTAAGTTTTGATCACATACAGAATAAAATTTAATTTGTAGGTTAGTTTTTAGTAGAATTTAAGTAAATATTTCATTTTCGTTTTACTGTAATTACAAAAAAAGGAAAAAAATTCGAAATTAGTAGGAAAATTGAAATTAATAAAATATAAAGTTTTGCCTTTTTTTATTTCAGGGCTTTTTTCGTACTACAGTTGCTTTAATGGATTATTCATCAGCTTTTACGGGCATTTTAATATATGCCTCAAGTCGTATACATTCCGGAAATGTGCCAATGAATGCTGTGGCACTTCTTGCGGCCCAATTAGTTATGCATCGACCATTTTTATTTCTTTCCATTCTTTCATTACTTTGCAGATAAGACATAATTTAAGATTAAAAAACTAGGCTTTTTTCCTTTTTTTTTGATCAAAAAGGACTACTTTAATTTCAAATTCCTTCCTCTAAATAATCAGTTGTAATGGGAGTAATGTGAAAATGAAACAAAAAAATTAGAATCAGTAAGTGGATTTTTTCAAAGCTCTTCTTAGTTATTGAATTATGAAATAGATATGACTTTGCTGAATGCTTCTTGAATTTAAATTTAGTGACAAAAAATAAATCATGAAACAGTTTCATTTATGTAATATCATCAGATGAAAAGCTAACATGAGCTAAAACATTGATAGCTTTAAAAAAAATACATACGATGTTGTGATCATAAAAAAGTAACGTATGCGAAATTTTGATATCACCTAAAAAAGTGTTTTTTTATTTTTTCTATTTTTCTTTTTTATTTTTCGACGAATATGTGAATGAAATCAAAAAAGCCAATAAAATTGCATTTCATAATCTCAACAATAAAGAATTAAGGATTGTTTATTGATAAGAGGAGAATTTTATTTCGGGATGAATAGTCGGATAGCTGATATTAAAGAATGAAATGCATTGTAATTCAATGATTCTTTGTTTCAGTTGCCGCCAACATTTTTTTACGTTCTGAGAGATGGTTGCAATGGTCATTTAGCAAATGTACAACCAGCTTATGAAAGCTACGCTGCTACTGGTTTGTTTGTAACTTTCTTTTTTTCTCGAATTAAAATTCCAGATTTTTTAGTCTTGCTTTGGGATTCTTAAGTACCACGATGAAACTTCTAAAAGATTTCAACATCTCTCTGTTGACTAATTGACTAAGCAAGTTTATGAGATTTATAAAATTTTATGAGAGCAGAATTGATTCAATTGATCATTTGCCAAAACTTGAGTTAAATATGAAATCCAATCGTGAAAATTCTTAGTTATATATTTTAATGTCAAAATGAATCGAAATCTGAATTATAAGATTAGATCGGTTTTTTTTTCAAGATTTTAATCTCATATCAATTCTTTTAATTTTTTAATTTCATTAATTAATTTTATATGAAACATTTTCGTTTGATACGGCTGCGGCGTGTTTTGCAACAATCACTGGCGGACCAATTTGGGCTATCATATATTACACTGCCAATTTGCTTTATACTTGCATCGGTCCTATGGTTTGTGTAAATTGATTCATTTGCTTTGTCATAAGTAAATATATGTCATATCATTAGAATAAAATAAGTTATTATATCATACAATCAATAATTTTTTTTGAAATTCTTCAATTTTTCTAAATTCAAAAGTGGAATGTAAATAAGCTAAAACGATTCGCAAATCATACCATGTGAAAGGAAAATTTTTTCATGTAGAATTCAATTTATGAAAGAAAAACATTTAGTTGAAATATGCAAATCTTTTATAGAAATGAACATATTTAGAATTTTAATAGTCTTTATGGATGTAATTGTTTCAACTAAACATGAACGGAGAAAAAAGGGATTGAGAATGTGACTTAAAATTAAATATCTCAAAATAGAATAATAAGTATCAATAACTTTACCATCATCCAGTTTAAAGCTTAAAATTTTAATTAAGGCAATGTTGTGAATTTCTCTAACAAATTTATGCGTGAACAATTATAAACAACAATACAAACAACAAATCCAAATAATACTATTTGATGAAGAAAATTCAATAGCCTGAAATAGTCTAAATAATGATAAAGAGGTTAAATAACATATTAGAATTTTTGCATATCGTATCAAATAAAAGATATGCAGTATTTAATATTTTATCACAGAGTAGAAAAGAACAAATGATACTGTATTAACATAGTCCATAAGACTTTATAGTATCACTTTTAGCACAATATCATAGCATAATACGATTATGGAATATTATTATTTAATTATATTACTGTTAATTATTACTTTTTAGGTCATACTGTTGGCATTCATTTATAATTCATTCGTAGAACAATTTGCGTTTGTAGAACGATTTCGAACACTTTTATTGGCTTTGCTATGTTCTGTGTTTGCCACAACGGGTTTTCTGCTTTGTATGCCCGTTAGTTATTCATCATTTAAAATAAATTTCTTTTTTCTTTAACTTGAAATCACAAATTGAGCATAACAGATATAACTAAGGATTTACTATCGAACCTTTTAGTGCCCAAATGCAGTAAGATCAACATTTCATTTTTAATGTATGCTGCATTAACTTACTCTAGAATTATGATATTGCTCTTTTAATATTGTGATATTTTAAATAATCTCCTAATATATTCCATGCGAATCTAATCTTTTAGACTTACTAGACCTGCCGAATCTACTTTTAGGAGACGTGACTTATTAACATTGTAAATTTGTGCAATATTTTTAGATGGGTACATCATTTTCTACTTTATTACAATACGTTTCACAATCATCAATCGCGAACTTGTTTCTATTTCTCTCTGTTTTCTTCATTTATGGTAAATAGTTCTTTCTTTCTTTAATTTCAAATTTTAAGTTATCACTTAAAAATTCATAAATGTTCCATTATTATTTTAAACTGTTAGATGTAGCAAACTAAAAATTGTTGATGAGTATTTGCCGAATTGCTGAAGAAAATCAAGAAAATGTTATCATCACGATGTAGCTGAGATGAAATAACAATATCATTTCCATACAATAATATATAATTAGATGATATAAATGAAATCGATATCAAAAATTTGAATACATACGTAGATGGAATCACGAAAAAAACAGCAAGCATATTGTACCGAATTATTTAAGTAATTCTGTTCTTCCAGTTGGACTATATGGTCAGTGTAAATATTAAACTATAAAATTCATTTGAAAATAAACTTAAATTAACAAAAATTATCGATCAGGATGGTATAATTTGGATACCGATGTGCGGATAATGATAAATAATAGCAATAGCCGTTCATTGGTAGTATTTTTACTTGGTGCAACAAGTCCTTTATATACTATTTTACTATTTACATCTGTACCAGCATTCCTTGTGGTTTGTCATTTCTTGTTGTTTTAATTTTTGAATTCTTTAACATTTATTCCATTTTAGTTTTCCAAAAAATAATATCAAGCTGTTTGCTTCTAAAGTTCACTCAAATTTCAAATTTAGGCAAAATTAGTAAGTGTATTTGATTTGCTAATGGGAGGAATGGATATTGAGAAGCATATCGATTATGGTACAGCATTTATATCATCATCTAAAATGTTTAATCGATTCTTTGGATATTTGATATTGCTTGGGCCAACTGCAATTATTATCATTTTTGCTTTTGTTGCATTTTATACCAATGTTATTTTATATAGAATGGTAATAATTTAATTCGAAAAATTACTTCAATTACTTGTTACACATTTTTAGCACTCAGTTTACAGTATTTTTAAATGAAAAATTTTTGAATATTATAGCTGGACATGTTCCTTTTGCATGGATTGTTATGCTTAAATTTTAATTAAATGTAATGAGTGTAATACGAACTCTTAAATAGTATTAATGTAGTATCAATAATATAATATACTTAAATAGTATACCTTTATTATAAAACCAATTTATGCATCAAGTTGATAGGCAGTAATCAATTGCTACTGGAATAACATAATGATTTGTTTTATGATTTCCAAGTTCAAATTTAATTTTAAAATAAATTGAAATGCAAATCAAAGCAGATTCTAAATGTATAATTTGAATTAAATATTCCAGCCACTGGGTGCAATTATGGATGCAACAACAGATTGGATTTCGCATACTTCACTTAGACAGGTAAAAGGTTTTCGATCTTTTTATATTATTTTTTAATTTAATACATAATTTAAATTTTAATTGTTTTACTTATTTTGTTTAAAATGAGATGAATAATCATTTTACTAAGAAGGAAAAATTGATGTATAAAAGGAAAGGAGGAAAAGTGTTTGCAAACGAATTGATCTACAATAATTATTGTAGACTGGATAAAATTTGTTCAAAAAAAGAAACAAAAAATTAGCCCAGTTGATTAAAAGAAAACTTCAGAATATAGAAATACTTTTTTCATCTTTTCATTCCTAATTAATTTATTTGTCAGACAACAAGTCCAAAACCGGCACCGATCTCACATCATATATTCACCTCTTTTTTCAATATTTCTTATCGAACTGCATTATATATCATATTTGTTGCTGAAATATTCATTGGAATCATTGTATTCTTCTTCTTTATTGGGTAAATCTTAAATCAATTTCGTTTACTTATTGAGTGGTTATAAAATTGTAACTTATTTGTCTTGTTATTTAATTTGATTATTTCAAATGTTTGATTTTTCAAATGCTCAATATAACCTATGATTTTCTAAGGAGTAGCATAGTTTTTTAGCATTTATTATCATTTAATGTAATACTAGGAAAAATCAAATGGAAAAAAATTTTGATCTTTTATAAAGACAGTAAAATGTTTGAAATTATTGAAATGCTGAAATGAAATCATATGTACAAGTTAGGAAAGTGGGAAAAAATTATAATTTAATTTCAATTTTTTTTCAAATCGTTAATTTCACATCTAATTTTTAATTTTCAGCAATATATTTTACGTTCGTCTTATTAATAATACCGCGAATGTAGCAGCAGCAGGTAATTTCCGTACAATATTATTTCTTGGTCTCTTAACATTCCACATTTTATCATTGATTGAATTACGCTGGACGTTAAAAAGATGGGATCATTCATCCAGGTTAGTTCATATTTCACTTTTTTTTAAAATTTCTTTTTTACACGGTAAACCACTTAATTAGATCACATAAAAATACTGTAAAATATTATCAAATGATTTGAAATTATCCATTAGGCAAATTATTGGTATTCCTGCGATACCAATTTTAATGTTATTGTTTTGAATATCAATAAGTGTTTTTTTTCAGTATTTGCTTAACAATAAGCATTATTGATCGATTCAAAGATTTTTGAATATCAATACTTGTGGAAGAGAATAGTTATTGTATATTTATTAACACGCTTGGAAAATATGCACTATCTAATTACCTTCAATAATTATTTGTTGATATTCGAAAACCTTCAAATCAATCGATAATGCCATTGTGAAGCTATGCATCATTGAATAATAAAAATTGAAAAAATTTTAAATTCAGATTAACAATGTATATAGCGGTTGCAACAGTAGAAATGGCCTTCCTGAATGGTTATATGTGGGTTGCAGCGGTGAATCATTCCTGGGGTTTAAATTATCAACCGTTTTTGGTGATTCTTATCAATACTTTCATTCGGGGTTCTATGATTGCCATTGTGATAGCAGTTCGTTGGAATATGGCGGAAATGTCACATCCAACTCGTACACGTGACGCTATCGAAATTTATGATGCAACCGCTGATTTGGATAACGACGCCGATCATGAGGATGATGTACCGACCATTTATGAAATGCGGCGTGATGTTTTCACTTGAGAAATTTGTGATTTTGTTTTGATTTCTTCGATGTTACAACTGATTGTTTGTATTCGTTTGTCGAAATGAATTGCAACATAAAGTTACTGAAACATTGGATATATTCCAAAACATCGTCTAATCATCGTATAGTGATGGCAAAGGCCTCCTTCTGTAATACATTGCAGGCACACAGTATATAGTGCCCAATCGTAGACTTTTCGATTAATTAGCTGATTAACTGATTGATTAATTAATTGAACTGATTGATTTGACGAATTTGACTTAGTATGAACCGGAAAAACTCGATGTTAAAGGTTTTTCTCCAAAGTCAGTTTCATGATTGCCTAATATAATCTCTTCTTCACGCCTAATCTCTTCACGAAACCTTTACAGTGTTAAAAAAAACATGCTATCAAAAATAATCATGCCACTGGTAATTTGCATCAAAATTATGCTTTTTATAATTGACAATCATGTGACAGAACGGCAAACTTAGTCGTATATGAATTTTCTGGAAAAATACAATCAAGAATTGTCAAAATATCCCGTTCCTTTCAATTAATTTTCTCACTTTTTCGCTAATTCGATGTGCAAAAATTATATTTTAGTTCGCGTGATTTTTTCTTTTCCCTTCAACGAATACCACGGGGGAAGCACTGCTCATTACCACTATTATTTATTGTAATCAAAAGTGAATTATTCAAAGATATCAAACAGTTCTTATTTAAAAATCTAAAAAAATAGTTATTATTTAAAATTCTAAAAAAAATGTTGGAACATAAAATGTTCCAGCATTTTTTCCTCATTTCCACTAATTTCGTTTGTCGTTTTTTTAAATTTTCAGTGCTTTTAATGTAAAACTTTTCCTCAAAATAAACTTATTTGCTAACTTATTGTTTGAAAAAAAGCGTTTACGTCATGTTAAACCTGAAAATAATAAAGCAGTTTGAAAGACATCAGTCAACTGACGTGATATGAACGCAAATTTTGAAATGTTATGCTCCTGAAACGATTGTTTGTGCTACAGTATCTACAATCAATACCGGGACGTGCATCATTGAGTGGTTGCATCCTCGGTGTCATGTTGTGCTCTTTCGTTTCTCTCTCGTGTTGCTCTTTTTTCTGGGGCTGCTGTTTCGGTGTGAATCGAAGAAATGGATGAAAGCATATCGTTTGCGAGTGTATTCCCGACCAGTCTTGCACGTCACTTACGTATTACATTACCGGTATCCAGAAAACGTACGTGGTTAAAATTGCTATTATCGATTGCTTTGAATTTAGTCTAAATTATCACAGCGATGTTTCCGGATTATATTGCGCTAAATGCAGGACTCAATGTTTGGTAGCAGATTTTATCTTGGGAATTTAATGAAGTTCGAGATTCCTAATTATATGTGGTTGAAATGGTCAAATAAAGTGTTATATAGAAGTTCATTATGTTTCATTTCGACTGCAGTTATAATTTAGTTTTCAGCGTGTTTCGAAAGGCTTTTCGAATCTTTCTATATCCATTTCCTCTGCTGTTTGCTTTCTCTTTCTTCTATTTATGAACATCATGGTTAGCTAGAAAGTTTTGTAGAATTTTGGCCTTTTTTGAATGATTCAAGAAACCAGCTGTTGGGCTTGGAGAAATCGATAATAATGGGATGAATGTAAAAGTAGGGAAGCAAGAGGTAGAGAATGAAGAAGAGTGAAAAGAAACTGTTTGTATATTTTTTAAGGATTGATTTTGTTAGAATACATAAAAGTGCGTTTTCTGTGCTTTAGTTTCAGGAAGTTTAGTTATTTTAATTTCAAAGTGTTCATTTGTTCCAGAATGTTTGGATTCATTTGCAAGATAGTTATGTAACCTTTTTACGACCATATAGAAAAGTTAATCAGTAAGTGAGTAGTACGATAAAGATTTCAGAAAGTTTCAAACTTTAGACCTAACTGACTAAGATGAGGCTATCACTAGCAGCTTATTTAAAGGACGAATGAAAAACCACGAACTTATTATGTTGGAAAAATGGATTTATAAGTTACATATTATAGAATTAAAGGATAAAATTAGAAGATTTTTAAGAAATAATTGTCAGCAAAAATACTTAGCTGTGTATTATGCACCATCAATTCCCGTAGTCTCAAATCTCAAAACTCATATTCCCATTTACAAGAGTTATCAAATCAAACAATATTTTGCGCTATTTGAGAAAAAGAGGCAGGGAAAAAAATATTTAGTTGACTATTTACAGTGGTTATTTCTATATCAACATGATAACCAGTTTCCTTCCTTCCATATTTGCAAGTAATGGTATCCAAACAGGAGTGTGGTTTTTTTAAGAAGTTATAAATATGTTCCTGCATCTCAATTTTCTGTTTAATTATAAAGGAAATACCACTTGTTGATTTTTTCAGATATTTTTTTTCCCCTTCTCTTTATAGCTATTTGATTTTATTGTAATATTCTTCAGAGTCAAAAATTATCAAGATATGTTTATGTAGGTATTCCTTGTACTATATCTATTGATTATTGGTGGAAATGCGAATTCTTCCATTACATCGTGATTCACTAATGTTTAAATAGCTCTTCATCACGCTGAAAAAAGAAAAAAAAGAATGCCGATGGTGATGTATCCTTTCTAGTGTGCAATCTCATTTGCGTGTCCGGCGATATCTACTCCGTGTCGTAAAACATTATCGGTATTGCATGTTTTATATTTGCTACATTTTGAAGGAATTTGGTCACCTCATCCATTCATCAGTTTCACAGCTATGTTTGATGGCGATCCGTTTGGCTTTGGGTAAGTGTTTCAATAACTGTTTGTAATTTGCAATTAACTAGTCAATTCTTCATTTGACTGCTATTTATTGGTTCATTCATCATGAATTATTTATGTGTTTACTTGATTCTTTATTTGTTTATTAATGTATGGTGTTGGAATTTATTATTCGGCTTTGAATTTATTAGATAAATTCAAAGCCGAATAATGTTAGTTACTTATCGTTGCAGTAACAGTTGGAGTAATCGTTGTACTTTTGAACATTATTGGTCTTTTATTTACTATTTCTTTACAGGATTTTAAATTAAAAACTATTAGACGTTAGAATATTAGATACCTTACGTATATAAAGAATTTCAGTTAAATATATTTTGCATTAGCGATGAGAATCTTTGAATTGAATTTATTTGTTCGTATTTCGCTGCTCTCGGTTTTGGCTGTACAACTGATGCAGACAAAAACTTCATGTTTTCAATGAATTATTAAACTCAAATTTCGTGTAGTTTCTTTCAAAACTTAACAAAATCATTTATTAAAACTTAATCTAACGATAATTTAAAATTCTTGGTCTGAGAAATAAATGAGATCGTATAGATTAATGATTTGGTTTTAAAAGAAATTTCTAGTAAAAATTTTAGTTTTCTAATATTTTGGCATCACTGCCAGAATATCAGCGGAATAACAAGAAATAAAAAGTGCGCTGTGGAAAGGGATCTAAATGAGAAGGAAAAGATGTCTATTTTTTTAATGTTTCTTTTCACTGTAAGTAGGTGTAGGAATTTCCCAATGTTTTTATAATATCCATAACATTATACTGTGAAGTAAAAAGATATTTCTTATTCAGTTGGTACTGAGAAAAGTCAAGCTACATAAACGAAAATGTGACTAAAAAAGTAAACTGAAATTAAATATTGTCCTAGTCGGGGAATTGAGCATATACAACTCTGAGGAATAGCGCAATTAGCCAGGTACTAACTTGTTTAAAATAATTGTATTTAAATGGATGGTGTGATTTGGTAATAATTCTACTTTTAGTGTAAAGCACGAGATATTGATTGAAAGTAATGAAAGTAATTACCAACATGACGATTAGGTAAGCGTACAGCTTATATCAAAGTAGGACGGGATGCATTTGACTTATGGCGGATGTGCATAAAATATGTTCGATGTTTAATAAAATGCTGGTGTCATGAGCTTAAATAGACAAGAAGTATTGGGAACCATAATCGTAGTGATATGTAATTATAAGTAGTCAGGTAGATTTTTGAGCTACCAGGTAGATTAATGGATGATATTTGATGCTGACATTATGGGTCATTCTATAATACCATGTGTAGTTACAAGATATGTTCCACCTCAGTGTGATAAATGATTGATTGGCACTGTAACGATGAAGGGTACATGATATTGGAGGATGGATTCAATGACTGATATTTTTTTAATTTCTGCGAAGTGCTTAAAATAGCACCAAAAATAGACGATGAAATCTTATCAGTTATAAATCACATGTCTTCATGAAATTTTAAGAAAGAAATAAAATTGAGTTATTTGTTTAAAAGGTCTCATTAAGTCTGATATGATTAACATGCATTTCTGAAGGATGGTTTTTCTTAGATTTCACCATCGATGTTATGATTTTTTAAATAAAATTAGGCATTTTACATGTATTTGAAATGGGGATTTGAAAATAACATTTGGAAATCATTCTCACTGAACTCAACATTGTGCTTCAAATCATTGATGTTATTGTGATGAAATGATTACGAAATGTAAGTGGAACATAAGTTTCTTTTATTTCCTGTTAGATACTTATGATTATGAGATGAAAGTATTAGTCATATTGGAACAATGTATCATCAATACTGACGTTGATACCAGATCATTTTGCTGCTGGTGGCGAAAAACAACTGTTCATTTTCCATTATTATCATTCACAAAAACTGACGGTTTTTTGAATTACTTGATTAATATTGTGCTGCACTGTGAACGAGCGAATGAAATTTCCGAATAATGAAGAATAAAAAAATTTCAAAAAGGAAAAAAACGAATACGTTAATTCCATATCCGGATGGTAATTCTTTTTACTGGACATCTAGTGCAGTTGTATCTCATAATAATATATGATTTTGCGTCATATATGTGCGACCATTAATTTTCTCGAAATTGAACTTATGGGGTTATTTTAACCTACCGACTGGTAAGTTTGGTGGTTTCATCGTTATGCAAGTGACTGGGGAATATGTCTCATTGCATTTCTGTCTGCCTTCTTATTGCCACTCATTTTTACAACATATTGTTCAAATTGAAATTTAATGAAGGTAGTTTTAAAAAAGAAACTATATAAATGAATTTGATGAGAAAATAGTTTTCAAGAATATTAGTAGAGTTCCATTTTCAAGTGTATGATGTGTTATAATAAATTTATAATTTTCAATCAGCAAGAGGAGAAGAGAGAAGATGAAAGAAGAGCAATGTTAATTTCCGAAAAATATAGTAAAACTTGTTTATGGAGCAGTTTGATAATCTTAATTGATTCTTCAATTAATTCTATGCTTTGTTGATAAGAGATTAAAAACAAGTATTTACGGACACGTATATATATATATATATATATATGTTATTTGCAATTAAATTGGTTTTTAGTTACATCTTAAACATTGTGCATAAAGATATGGTATACTTTAGTCAGAGTCAAATTTATACTACACGACTACATTGCAGGTTTGATTTTTTTTTGAATTTGTTCAAGTTATCGTTTGCTGGTTTTTTGAATATGTTTTTTCGGATTCCGGAAAAATGAGGACTTAAAATTTTGCATCCAAATTCCAATGTTTCTTAAATCTGAAAATATAAGTATACATGTTATCCCATTCTCATATAAAAAAGTCATTCCATGGGCGCTTGCGAAATCGTTTTAATAGTTCAGGTAATTTAATGTTCCTGAGATAATAGAAGAATTTGATTATCGATGAGGTGTCCCAGATAGGTAATTCTAAATATTTATCATTACGACAGTAAGTCTTCGCTGTTTTGTTTTTCTAAAAAGATTTTAAGTAATAAATGGTCTTAAATAAAACCGATATAATGATAATCCTCTCCTTACTAGCCTACGGCTGAAGTCTAAAAAATGAACGGTGGTTGATGAGAACGGGAATGTTTCTTGCTGAGGAGTATATACATTTTTTATGAAATTTATTGATAAGAGAAAAAGACCATCAGTCGTTGCCGGAAGAATTTGCGGTCTTGTATTTTTTCTCTTAGGACTTAAGTATAATCTATGTTATCGGTAGTTGTTTATGGAAATTAGAAAGATTCACTAATTTAGTCATCAAAGCAACAGAATGAGTGAGCGGAGCGGAACATAAAATGGAATGCGCGCGCAGTGCACAATTTAATTAATTTGTTGTTTACGGCATAAATGAGTACCACCATTGGAACTACATTGATTAATGTTTGACCTGAATGGAACCGAGTTAGAATTCTGCCTATGGATACATCCTTTCTTTCTGCTTCTCAGATCTAGACAAATTCAGAGAAGTGAATCTATTTTTCAGTTTTCACATTAATGGATTTTTTAGTGTTTTTGTGCTCCGGTATCACCGAATGTTCTCGAAAAATTGCGAAGTTATCGCAGACTTGTTCTTTTTGAATTGTTCTCATTCTTTTTCTCTTTGCTTTCCGTAATTCAACCCTATTCCTTTGCTCCTCCCTTTCAATTTATTGATTTGGGTTCATCATTCCGTAGTCTCTTTCTTTCTTCCTCTTTTCTCTCTGTCTTTTTCTTATATGTTCCCTCTTGTGTCACATTTTCAATTGTTATGCCTTCCTCTTCTGTCTTATATATTCCCTCTTGTGTCACATTTTCAATTGTTATGCCTTCCTCTTCTGTCCTTGTTTATTCCAATTTCAATTTTATATGAATACATCAAAGTGGTTGCTAACAGTATCCAGTGGGATAGTAGGAATAGTTTCGAGACATTTGAGCGAAGCGAAAAGTTTTAAAAATTTCCAGTGCAGTAGTTTATAAAGTCTAAACTCGTATATAAGAGAAAAGAAATAAATGGTGTGGCACGGTAAATGAAAAAGGAAGGAAAATGTTCTTTTCAGAGGACTAGAAAAAAACATGACTGAATGGGGGAGATAGGAACAGAAGGAAAATTCACAACATTAAAAGTATGCTGGAAATGATAGTGATATTGTTAAGATGAATTGATAAGAATGAGAGCCTTACTGCGATGATTGTCTAGGTAATAGTAATGACGTCTTGCTTTCGGTCCTTCAGGTAACATTTGAGCAGAAGGAAGGTTTGGAAATTCAAATCTGATGACAGTGATTGACTGAGTAGCTGTAATAACATTACATAGCTTGTTTGGAAGTTGAGATATATGATTTCATTCCCAAGGATGTGTTATTTGGAATAGACATCGAGAGTGTAATGAGCCTTATAATACATATGTCATGCTTATTGATTTTGCTGGGGTTCCACCTGAAATCAATGTTCTATTATTCTGTGTTGCTTTTTCTTGTTTACATGTATTTGAATTAATTTTCTTTTTTTTTTGTCATAATTCGTGCTTTGTTAGAAGAGATAGAATGAAATAAGTTGTTGAAGAATTGCCAATTTCTGGGCTAATTAAGCTGTTTTGAAGGAAATAATAATGTTGAAATAAATGAGGGAAATACATGAAAAAAGTAGTGAGATAAATAAATTATCCTTTTTCATGAGCTGGCGAATCTTTGGTTTTTTAATCTTTTAATGGGGGAAAAAATTTGAAATTCAAAAAAAGAAGTAAGGAGCGTTCTGTCACGCTGGTAAATTTATCGTTACTTGCTCTTCGGAGATTTTTACTGTCTCAGTGGGGAATGTAAATTTACATTTCATGGAAAAGTTGGGATTTAGTAGGCAGATTGACTTTATAGTCATGTGTTGACTCGCTCTTCCCGCACTGTCTTCCTGCAAGATTCATGAAATAATCTTATTCAGGTGAAATATAGAGGTTGTACTAGAAATGAAAATTTTTAATCTAAGATCTAGAAGACTTTTCATTAAATTTTACCCATACAGTTTAACTAAGATGATCAATAGCAAAGTCCTCGATTTTTTTTGGTTAGATTTGAATAATGTATATTTGAGTGATTGAAAGTTTTCCAAAATTTAAAACGGGATGAAATGATATCTGTGTTAAGTGAAATTAAATTATTTGCGAAAAAAAAGAACAGCTTTTTCTTTTTTTCTCTTTTTGTGCCCAATATATATAGATAAAGTTTTTGATAATTTTTTATTTATTCATATTGATTGACGGTGAATAGGCGTAGAAGTATGTCACAGAAAAGACGGTTAGTTAAATATTATGGTAATGGAATGGCTGGATGTATTGTCTTTTATTTACGGTTAAAGTCGTTCGTTCTTTATTTTGTATTCTGTATTCATACTTCAGAAATGTTTTAATAATAGTGTTCATGGGGAAAAAGATATTTTTTCATTTTTCTAATTAACGAATGAGCTTTTTATAGAAAATTTGAGATAAGATTATGGAAATTCTACGTCTGCTAAATTTTTTTTTGAAATTTTGATGTGAAATTCAGAAATCACAACGAATTATATCTAATCAGTGCTAAATGGTTAAAGTATACTTAGCAGTATGAAATACAAAGTTAGGAGATATCAAAATGCAGATGAACGATTGAGGAAAATTAGTCATTGACAAAATGGATATATTTTATTTTTATTTACGAATTTTGCTAGTAGGAATATTTGATTCCAGAAATATACATCGTCAAATAAGGCAGCAAATGCGCGACATGGACAGAATAGCGCATGGGATGTTGAGTCCGTTTGGTTCACTGTTCAACATGCACAATGCGTTTGACAGTATTTTTTTTTTCCTTCTTTTTTGTGGAATGTACTTAAATCCTTTGTAAGATAATTATACAGCATCTAGTTCTTTATTTTTTCGAAGTTACTTAGTTACTAATAAATTTTGATTTTTATTACCTCTCCCTAAATGATTGTTTTCACATCATTTTTTATTAAAGTCTTATTTCCTTTTCATTAAAGTAATTTCTAAAAATCTGTTAATAAAATGCTTGAAATTCCGATCACTAATTTAGAACAGAACTTGTTAAAAATAGATTCAACGTTGTCTGCATAAAGTATAATTTGTGTTGAGGTATAATGGGAGAACCCTCGGGAACACGTCAAACGCATGACATGGCGTTAATGGATCCATTTGGCTTTAACTTCAATGGCATCATGAGACAAATGGTTCGCTGCTTTAGAATTGTAATTTTGGTTTGAATTCGAAGTAGATTTCTTTCCTGAAACTGTGGATATATGCTGATGTTGACTTAAATTTTGTATTTTAATTCTAAATTCTATCAAATGAAATAAAGGATACATATTTTATTACATTTGTTTTCCGGAGCTAAAATTATTTCCAATAAAATTTTAGGAGAATGTCCAGGCACAAGCGATGAATGACCCAAATTCACATGTGTTTTCTCATTCAACAATGATTAGTTTTGATGGACGTAATGGTGGACAGCCTCGAGTAATCGAGAAATCAATTCGTAAAACTGGTGATGTGAAAGAAACACGGTATTGCTATGGTTCTAATTAATTTATAGAGTAGAATTTAATGATAATGACTTAACTTCTCATTACACTTTAGTATTTTGAGAGGTAGGAAATTTTCTGACACTCCCTTTTTGTAATTGGGAAGAAATCATATGTTACCTGCGGCTACGCCTTTTTATAATTGAGAAGAAATCACATATAAGATGGAAAAGTGATTTAATTTTTAGTCATGCGATTCGAACAGGCGAAGACGGCGTAGGTGATAAGCTCACTATCGGACATACAATAGGCGATCGGTCGCATGTGATAGAAAAGAAACGTGATCGTGATGGACGGATCAGAGAACGACAAAGCTTTGTTAACCTTTCACAAGGTATTTTATCTAGTTGTTAACCATAATATCAACTGCTGGCAATCTAAATTGTTACCGAATAGTTTAATTGTTGCCGCTACCACTCGTTTAAGATTACTTCCGATATATAGTATCAAACTACATATTTGTTAAATGCTGATGATAAGTAAAGTAAGCTGGGAAAGTTTCTTGATCTATATTTTAGACGAAGCGGAAGCGTTTGATCGTGAATTTGCATCTCGTGCACGGCGTAATCTGATGGGTAGTAGAAGTGATGGTCACAGAACTCGAGCTATTGAAGGTGGCACCAGGTATGGTGGTACGACATCAAACAGCCGAAACTATGTTAGTGATTCTTAAAATTGTTTGCGTTATAATTAAGATTTATGAAATTTTGTATTGTGCCTAAACTTCATCTCTTTGATTTTTTCTCGGAAAATTAATTTCAAAAGAAGGATTATAGTGAAGGGATGAAGAATTGTTCTATATTTGAAAAAAAGGATTGTCGAATATGGCATATTAGGAAAAAATGGAACTAAGTGATTTTGGTTGAAAAAATTAAATTAAATGATATTGCAATTTTTCAGGTACCACGCATCGGTGGCACAAGTGCACCGATTATTACTCTTCCGGATGAAGAAGATGATAGCGACGTGATGGCCGAGGAGGATTATGGTAGAGGCAAAAGGTAATTTCTTTTATTAATGAGTATAAAGGATTCAAAAATGTTTGGTTTCTGAATTGTATCATCCTGTAATGGATTCAGAATGCGTTATTCGTGTAGATAATAAAAACCATGCTAAATATCACTTTTTTTTATTTTCAGATCTAATTCTCGTTTCGCATCTGGTTCGGGAGGTCCGGTAATTCGCGAAGTGACAGATGATGATGAAGATGGTAGTAATAACCATAAACGACGAAAGGGTTTTTTTGGACGCCTGTTCAAGGAAAATGATGAATGAAGCTGTAGAAAAACAAATTATACCATACAAGAAATGCATGCAACAAAGAATTTATTTTTCGAAAATTATTTCAAATGTGGCGCGAAAATTTCATATAACAATCAACGTATTCGAATACTAACTTCAAGTTGATATTTCGATACTAATGGTTTTATCTAGGCGTTTCGTCGTATTTCGAAAATTTTTTTCTTGGAATTTGTATTGATGTACTGACAATAAATTTGAATAAAAGGAAAGAATGGATAAGATGCATTTATTTGAAAGTGAAACGAAATTTATTTGAAAGTAAGACGAAACGATTAGTAAAGTTAACTATCAACTCGATAATGGAAAACCACAGGTTTAATTGATGTTTTCTTGCTTCTTGTCCCAATGTACTAATTAAACAGCGATCAGTTCGACATTTGTCGATTGCTATTATTTGTGTCATCTTTACGACATTTTCTACATCAAATCTCTTCACATGGTTTAATGAAATTGCCTTCTTGGAATTACTTTTTCTAAATTTCTTTATCATAGTGATAAGTTTTTGGCTCTTTAAAAGAATTCAAAATGCTTGAGTTATGAGTATCTGAAATAAGTCCTTTCCATAATTCTTTAGTGACTTTCCCACATCTTATTTCTGTACTGTTAACTTAAGCCCGCTGTTTACCCGTCTTATTTATTCTTTCTAGACTATAATTTGGCCCATTAATTGGCCAGTTATTCATCTGAAACGGGAACATGATGATACGTTGAGTTCTTTCCTTCATCCTACAGCTTGCGTGTACCAATATGGTCCCTTTCATTGATTTCTAACCGTTCCTATCTTTTTTCTTGATTCACTGCATACAAATAAAGCATATATTCGTGTTCCATCATGTTGCCGTTTTCAATTTTTCATGATTATATTTCCCCGTAATGCTTTCCTGTGCAGTCTTGAACTATCAAAGTCAACAAATCGATTTGCTTTTCAATCGAACCATTTATTTGAATGTTTCAGTGCCACGGAATCATTTATCAGTAATAAAAAACACGGGAAAGTTATACGATAACATCAGAAAACAACAAGCAGACCCTCTATTTTGGTTAAGAACTGCTTCAAACGGTCATGAAATTTGCGTTTTTCACATTTATTGGGATGTTTTCCTGGACTAAGGAACATCAATGTTCGGAAAGCGTTCCGTAGAGTCGAACGATTTGGATGGTTTGCTTCACGAGATAACAAATTTTTGACATACGTTTTGCAGCCGTCCTGGAAATTAATTTAACAATAATCTTTAATCTAGTTGTGATTTGACTACTATTCGTTTTTCACAATCACAACAAAAAATCCTTTTTCGAAGTCGATATTCAAAATTCAATTGAGATTTTTTGCGATATTTTTGGAAGATGCACCTACTGTAGACTAAATCTAGTTTTAATAATTGGTGTAAACATACTTGCATTTCAATTATTTGTTAGAAATTAACCAGTAAATCATCTTGATTTCCATAATATAAAACTATATACCTCATCGCAACACAGTAATGAATATAAGGCTGCTGATGTGGCTGAACTTTGCACATCCTCTTGCCACAGGGCATTCAGGCATATTGTAAAGGTAGGCTGTAAATTCATTCACATCAACTATTGGTTGGTAATAATTAAAAAAGCGGCTTGGTATACACTTTTTCTAGTAAAAGTTATCAGCAATAATCAAAAATGAGAGATAATTGTGATCAATCAATAATAACAACATTAACATTCATAACGGATCGTTTATAACTTTATTGGCACGTTGTATTTTTTGCTGAAGTAAACATTTTGGTAAGATCAAGAATAGCACCATATTAAAAGTTGCAAATAATTCGTTATCAATCAGATATTATCATCCCTGCTTGGTCATATTTATCTCATTAATTCAGACTGATTATTTTTTATTTCTATTTCATGAAATTTTTACTTGGTGGGAAATATGAAGTAATTATATTGCTTGAAATAAATGTTGCCTACCTATTTATGACGTAAGCATTTGCTTTATTTTAATTCTTATTATTAGAGATCTAAAAAAATATATAAATGAAAAAAAAGCTTACTTCGATAACAAGAGAAAAAACTTTTAATGCCGTACCATTTCTTGGATGTTTGGTAAAATATGTACCTAAATGAGCTATTGCAAGTGCTGAATTAATTGAAACCTGAAATTATATTTTACAGAACAAAAAAATGTGCAATAAAAATTTTAGCAGTAATACTCTAAATTTACTACCATTGTTAAAATATTTTAATGAATCGCTTGTAACTTTAGCACGACATTTTTTTAATATAAATTTTACGATACATTAAGGTGCCATATTGTATTAATGATACTTTAATCTCATGAAATCACATAAGTATTGAAATAATTTTAAAAAAGAAAAGAGGAGAAAAAGATGAAAGGAGGGATAAACAGGTGAGGATAACCTCTTTTTCGAAACGGTCTTTCAGATTACATAATAGATCATCTTTCTCATGATCTGCTTGCAAGCCACTGTTGAGATATTCCACAATTGTTATGAGATCTTCCTGTGAAAATTTCATGATAAATTCAGGTGTCATTTCAGCTGAATATCTGAGATAACGATAAAAGCTGAAATTGAATACAAGCTAATTAACATTTGTTAAAATTATTATACATTAAGTATGAAAATGAATATTTTATATCTCTAATTAAAATTGATGGCTGAGATTTTTTGTATTAAGCTCAAATCCCTTTTCCACGTTAACAAAACTATTTCACAATGAATGGATAGCTTAGTTAAAAAAAAAATCAACAAGTGGAATTTCTTTCTTTTTTTTGATATTTCTTTTCAACGGGGCGGATGATGAAATTCATACAAAAATTCTCAAAATTTTAGAAAAATTTACCTTCTGCGTAACAAAGGTGTTTTGAAATGTTCAGGTTCCACTACACGTATTATCATATTCCACGCTGTTACGATAATGCGTGAACGATTTTCGGTAAATTCTGTCTTACCTGAAAAGGGAAAGTATGTCACGATGCTATTACTGTAATGACAACTATCTTACCATAATATTTTTGCCATTTGAATAATATGCAAATTTTAAGCTGTCCACATTACTTCTAACGATTAACAGGAAAGATCGTTTTTTTCAACTTCCTAAATTCCAATTAAAAATTTCAAAGTGACAAACCAGTTAACAAATTGACCGGTCGATTTCTTTTATCCAAAATATTTGTAAGAATTTCCAATAGAAGTACCAACTCTGATGCTTTTTCCTTATCATCCAAATTTCTGTAACGTTCATTCTGCTCTTTTTCGTAGGTTTGAATAACAGATAACAGTACCTTTAAAATTTCCATTTTATTAATTTAAATTTATTTAAACATTATATCTTATGAAATATACCATTTTTATAATTATTATAGGAAATTAAAGTAGGGTGAATAATTGGAATAAAGTGAACTCGGAAAAGTGTACTGAAAATATAATAAATTGGAAATTAAATAGATGAAAGCGAAATTTATTACCCCATAAAGAGATGACATAATCTGATGACTATCACAGTACACATATATTCGTTTCGTTAAGCAATCAAAAAGTTGAAGAACAGCATTGACAATAATTGTTGAATTCTTGTACATCGATAATAGAGAGACAGAACATTTTAAAATTGGTTTTAGATATGCTGAAAAAATCACAGTCTATAAAAATCAGTCATAATTGATCATAATTTTTGATGATTCCATCATTGATTATCAAAACTGAAATTTTCAAATGAATTTATGCATGCGTAATTATAAATATTCATAATTTTTTAAATTATTTCATTATTGACAATTCAAATTTTTAAAATGAAAGACTTTGATTATAATTTTTAATGATTAAGAAATATAAAATTAACCGAGTAAAAATTCCGCCGAACATTTTTGAATGCCATCAGCTACAACACAAAAACACTCCAGTAAATCGTCAAATTTCTCGTCTGTTTTTAACCAATTTTCACACATTGACATGAATTTAGTCCTTATAGGTATTAAAATCTATAAAATAGAAAAATACAACTAAACAAGCAATTACAAAATAAACATAAATAAACGATTTTAAATCAAATCTAATTGTATTACTCATAAATATTGATTTATATAGCATAAATAATTATTGTATTCAAAAAGTAGCCAAGGTAAATATTTTTGCTAAAACTTTATAGCAGTATAGATTGATCATTGTTTAAACTAACCATTTCATATAAAGTTTTCTGCTTCACTTCGTCACCAACTATACCGCCAATTTGTAATAATGCTTTTAACACAGACGAACGAACTGATATTTGATCAGTTTTGATCGTTGATAAATATGAAAATAAAAAAATACTCTTTGATGTTTCGCAATACAATGTATGTGCCAAAGTAGAAAGTAATTCAACAGCATCCATACATGTCCTATAATTTCAAATATTTAATATCACCTATCATTATTATATTTTAAATTATATTATTACATTATTTATATTGTTGCATTTGTATTTTAACCTCTCACTTACTTTTTATTTGTTGACTGTTAACAATTATTGATCATATAATTTACCCATTATTCATTTATTTGTATTTATGCATAAAATGCGTGGCGATTTTAATAATGAAATAATTCTTGAACATAAATGTCCACGATAAGTTATTGTTAATGAAATCAAAAACAAAAATATTGCATAACAACAAAAGAAAAGAAGTACAAAAAAGAAGTTACACTTAATTTGATGGATAATACATCAATAGTAAGAATTTAATTCCTTTGTCAAATATTTTTCAACAATATTTTAAATATTTCTTACCGGATAACTAAAAATCCGCAGCATATATATTGATATATAGGAATTATGTTTGTTATTTTTGTCAAACAATGCTGCCATATACAATAATCATTATTATAATTATTTTTGTTAAATTTACGAGAAACTACTAACTTTTTTTCATCCGGTATTATGTTGAAGATCCGGAATGATTTTTGCAAAGCAAAATCAACCAATATTTGGGTAATATTTTGTGATACTTCAGCTAATTGATTTCCTTTATCCGATTTTTGAATGTGTAATCCAATCGCGGAAAGTAATCGTCTCATGCACCACAACGATGTATTACATAATTCCACACTTATCGCTGTCATTCCATGTTCTTTTAGCAACGTATCCTCAATCGAACACCAAGCAAATACAGTACCAACAATTCTGCAAATCAGATTTCTTCCTGTATTACAAAATTAATTATTGATTTGACTAATCGATGATTTCTGGAACAATCAATATAAAAATCTCACGAGTCTATATTTTACTCTTTCCTTAACCTTAAAATCGTAGTTAAATTTTATCAGAATTATTAACTATTTGTATTAACATTAATTGAAACTTAATGATTTTTTAACTTCTCTCGAAATCTTATTTTAGTATATTCCGGAATTGTTGTTCATTCTACCAACTTTATTACAAGATCGATTTCTGATGGATCAGTTAACAACTGAGGTGTATTGATGCATGCTTCCATATATGATGCATATTTATCGACGTCTATCGATTTGCTTCCCGCTACAGTGTCATCATAATAAACTAATAATTTGCTTTGCCATACATAATTACGATCTTCATCTTCCTCTACCAATACATGACCTCAAAAAAATGTAATCAATTACTCACATACAGAATATTTTTATTAAACAATTTGAAAAAATCAGACGAATTCGATAAAAAAGAAAAACTTAACACTACAGGTTTGCTTATAATTTGATTTTAATTAATTTTCTTTTCATTTTTAACTTCACTAATTCAAAATTCTATTTTAAATTGAGATTGAGAAGAATATTTAATTACTACCAATAAACTTACCAATAATAAGTAAAATCCAATGCATATTTTCTCGAAAATTTTCCAAATCTTCCATACACATTCCTATTTCCAACGTTGATAAAAATTCTTCAAGTGTTTCAGCAAGTATTCTACAAAAATATCGGTTAATTATATCATATTTGTAAAAAAAGAAATATTATTTGCAAAACTGACTAAAAAATTTAATGAAGTTTTGAAATAAATCGATTAACTGAAATATTAATTAAACATACGTATATATTTTTGATAGCATTTCATCTAAATAATAAGATGAAAACAATCCAATTTTTATTAATATTTCTTTGAAAATTTCACGATCAGGCAAAGGTGATGTAACCTGAAAATAATTATTATAATTCTAATATTTTAACGTGACATTATCAGGATAAAAAAATATTTGACAGAAAATGATAAATTTTTTAAGAAATAATAAGACAGAAATTTTTAATTTTTTTTTTTGAATTTTAAGAAATAATAAGACAGGAAAGTGAAAACAAAATAAATAATCCAATGCAAACCTCTTCGCGCTCACCAAATGGAATAGAAAATATCATTTGCATAAATGCTGAAATCATTAAGATTGTTATTTGAGCGAAATCAATCGCATAACTCATCACTTCAACGATGAATTCTGAATTTTGCAAAACAATTAACCATCCTTTGAACAAATTTTGTAAGGCACTAATGTAGGCCCATTTTAAGGTCGCGTTGCACCTTCGTGCTGGGACATTTTTCGTTCCTTTTTCATCCTTCTCCTCACCCTCTTCATTTTCACTTTTTTCACTCTGAAACAATGGGAAAGTTGAAAATGACGAAAAAAAAGAATGCTTAATTGTCAGATTTAGATTGATTAAACGATATGTAAATCAGTTGTATCATATTGTTTATTTTTTAATTAATCAACGTAATTAATATTTTCTTGCTTCATTAATTGATTGATCAATTGATTAAATTAAGAACTGGATTTAGTATATGAAACTGATAAAGCTTTAAGATTATTCGTATAACAATAATTAAAATATAATTAATGTTAATGCTTTGCATTAAATTTAACAATAAACTAATGTATGTGTTACATGTAACGATCTTCATGTGCATATAATAATTTTAGCTTTTAATAATTTCGCAAATTCTATTTACTTATATTCATATGCAATCATGTCGATGTAAAAATTGGAAAAAAAAGCAAAAACCAAAATTCATTAAAAATATTCAAATTCTCATAGAAAAACAGCTACTTTACGTGCTTACCATATATGATAATTTTAATGTAAAAGATTCCGTCAGTAGCGGAATGAATGATAAAAAAGTGGCAAATGATGCTTCAGCTCGTGCAAGTGAATGAATTGAATGATTTGCTAATATATTACTAATCATCATACTATAAGTATATACATCCGGCATTACTGCTTGCCTGAAATCTGATATTTCAAAATTTTTAATTAATGAATTCATATCTCATCCCAAAATTAATTTAAAAGATCAACTTTCTTCTTATCATTTGATGAAGTTAAGTTATTTGTCGTTATAATTGCAAACAAGTTAACATTCCGCTCCGGATGATGTCCAGTAATAGAGAACCAATTAAATTATATTGCTAATCCAAAAATTAATTTGAAGTGTCATATAAATGGAAAGAAAATTACGTGTTGAATGTCCAGACGAAAAGTGAGAGAAGATCGGATGTATATCTATTGTATGCTGTGGTATAGGGAACATCCGGAATGGATATCATTTCAGAATTCGGATTAGCTGGTACATCAGGTAAGACGACGTTACTTATCGACATCAGTTGAGTTATGCAACTTGTTGTAAGCGTTGAAAGGGTGTTATTGTTACGAAGGAATCTGTGTAACTGAAAAAAAGAATTTATATTTAATACATGCGATTTTAAAATTGTTGCAATTTTATATGATTAAATGTTTCTTAGATTGTTGAAGAATTTTCTTAACAATGATAAATTGTTGACAACAAAATCAATCCCTGAAATTTTAACAAATTGATATGAATATTTGCTACAATTTTCAGACTTTCGAAAACCTTAAATATCCTTCATTGTAAGCTTTTTAAATTGTTTTGAATTGAAAATATATTATTCGTCACTTTTAATAATTCAACAAATAAGTTAACGAACAATAAAGAAAAGTTGCAAAAATTCCTTCCATAAGAATATCGCTCTCCATGTCTTCGGTGGTCCTGCTACTGACATACCGCTTTTTCGTGATAAATGATGAATTCCAAAATTTCGCGAAAAAATAATATTTGAGATTCGCAGGAAATGTTCCGTCATACTTAACTGAAATTATCACCGAATATGCTAAAATAGGGGATTTCAAAAAACGACGGATAATTTTATTGTAAAAATTGGGTATTTTTAAAAAATGAGAAAAAAAGCAAAAAGCTAACAAATTATTTGAAGTGGCTTAAAAACAAATGAATAATTTGGTCTATAAAACTAATTTTAAGCGTGAACTTTTACATTTTTAATATACACCTTATTTAAGGCATTCTTCTCAAAGCTTTACGCGAGATTTTTATTTTGCTTAATTTATCTCAATTAATCGAATAGAATTGGTGTAATCGCCGATGGGTAAAAGTTAACTGGATACTGTAATTAATGTTCAAATTGTTAGCAAAAAAACATACATGGGAACGTTCCCTGAAGCTGCTAACAAGGATACAATATCGAGGAATAACATGTATACATTTGCAAAAAATTTTTAGCAAACCTTCGTTCTGAAAATGAAGTCAGTCTAAAAATTTTTTAATTTTTATTTCAAAGTAAACAGCTACATCTACTTGAATCATATATTTAAATACATTATCGGTTACTAAATTCATCAATCTATGTAATAAGTATAGATTACTAAATTCATCAATAACTTATTATATTCACCAATTTCACTTTAATTTGCAACGAATTACTTGATATATTCATAAATATTAAGATTTCATTACAAATTATTCCACATACTTGATATAATATACTAAACTACTATCTACCTAATGTATTATTTCAATAATAATTGAAACCGTTCACTTAAATGACAAAAGTATACTAATAAATATCATCGAACTGCAATACAATTTTGCTAAAATAATTCAACATTTTTTTGTATGACAAACATAATGAACAACTCATTTGCGGACACAATTTTGGAAATTCTAAAATTTATGAAATCTTTTACAAATAACAAACGCAATACCTCAAAAGAAAGCTTCGCTCTGTACTGAAAATCATAAGAGATGCCAAGATCGGCTATTCTCCAATACTCATCAAATTCATCCAAAATTTTAAGGAAGAATTCATACGTTATATGATGCTAAAAATAAATATAATTCATATAATATAAATGCATCAAATTTTTTCTTTGAGTGTTTCTTATAAAAAACAAAAACTGATAAAATATTTGTTTGACTTCCTACCATAATTTACAGAAAAATTATGCTTTTATCATGATATGTGATGTAGAGAAAATTAGGCCTGTATCATTGCATAAGCCTAAGTAATAAGGTTTTCTAGCCGTTTTCTAATCATAAAATCAGCATTATGCTAATTTCATGATTATTATTAGATGATATGATTTACTACAAACGTACATTTCAGAGATAAGAAGCAGTGAATTTCATATATCATTAATTTATACTGATCATTCAATGATTCATATCGTTTCTAATAATTTAATAACCATTAATTAATCTGTTCAATCAATTTAAAAAATTAAATTCCAACGGTTTTTTTTCTTTTGCGACAGAATTTTTTTTTATAAATATAAAAAAGAAAAATGAAAAAAACAATTACAAATTCCACATTTTCGTCTGTTAGCATGACATAAAATTTCGCTGCTAATAAATCGAAATTACACGCATGACCGTCAAAAACAGATCGTTTCAGTAATTTAGCGCATGCTTTTATCATTCCTTTCCGGACAGCCGTCGATTTTCTATTAAGAATTAAAATATGCCTCATGTTGTTTTAAGTGACGAAATGATTTAATTAATATTATTACTCGTTGTCAGTTGTGCAAAAAATTGCCACAAACTAATCAATCAACCAAATATCTAAAGAAACATTAGTATCTGATAAAAATTGCGAAAATCATTAGAGAATTCAATAATTTTAGCTCATAATAATAGCCGTTGGCATTTCCTCTGATATTAAATTTGACCTGTGAAATTGCTAAATTTTTAAGAAATTTAAAATCAGATAATATGCGATATTTTTTTAAAATCATAATAAATGCTAATTTAACTAAATCATTTTGATAATTTTTTTTTATTTTACGATAGTGAAACTATTATACCTGTGCTTGAACAAAGCACATCCAAGAAAGTAATCAAAATAATCTTTCTTCAATGAAGGCTCTAAAATTGCCCATTTTTTAAGGATGATTAAAACAGCATTTTCAATCATTGCACATATAACAAATTCGTTAGAAGTTCCATCTGAAAAGTACGTTTAAAATGTAACTTAGATTAAATTTTAAAAAATTTCATGAAACTTTTAAAATTAGTCAATAATTAATTCGTGGCGAAACAATTTTAGTAATTTAAGTGATAACAGTATTTTTTATAACCAATTAAATGAAATGAAATGAAATTATTCATTTTGCATATTCTAATTGAGAAAAGCAAATGAGAAGATTGTCACTTAATTTTTCCCGTCTAATTACAGAGCAAAATTAAGTTAATTAGATATCACCTAAAGTTATAAATTTTCTAATACTTCATTATAAATATTTTAAAATAACCACAAATACTAATGAAAAAGATGGAAAATGTTACTAACCGATAACTGTGCGACATTGATCTAAAGTTATCCGATTATTTAAATCGCGCAAGTACAATATTGCAGCAATTTGTGAAGGTGATGGAGTTCCTGATATTGTCTAAAAATTCCTTTTTAAAAATAATAAATGAATATTAAAGTTTTTTTGTTAAATTTAATTCTAATTTTTGTTTTTTAACTTTTTAAATTTCAATTTTTTTGTCAGGGCAAAAGTATCCTATCCTTTTTTCCACTTTTTCAAAGAAACTAGATGTTAATTTATCAAATTTAACATATTTTGCTGGAGTTAGTTGACTTAAATCTAAACCAAGCTTTATTGCTTTGTTTAGATTTATATGGAATGAAGTTTGTATTTTACATCTACAATTAATTAATTAATATCGAAATCTATGAGATGTGTAGATAAGCAAACCGCAGCAATTTCGGCCATTCTTTCAATTCTCGTAATATGATTCTCATCCAAATCATTCTTGATAGTTGCCACTTGTTTTTTTCTTTTTGTATTGGGCATATTTTTAAATTCTGACAATGTTAGAATCCAACAACAAGCATTTGCTTGACGAAACTAATGAAACGCAGTGGCAAAATGGATGAATAGAGAAGAAGTCTGATTCCCAATAAAAATTCCAATTGGATCGGATAATTTTACAGGGATGTTGATTGAACCGTTTGTCGTTAAATGATCTTTATCGAATGAAATAATAATTTGTTGTTGTTTGGCGCTTACTTC